TGTTCTCATGCAAGAGGGGCGACCACTAGCCTTTTTCAGCAAGGCCTTAACATCACAAAAATGGGCCAAATCAGTTTATGAGCGAGAATTAATAGCAATAGTCTTAGCAGTCCAATGTTGGCGACCCTACTTGATCGGTAGATGGTTCACAATTCGGACCGACCATCAAAGTCTGATGTTCTTATTGGATCAATCAGTTCTATCCCTGGAACAGAAATGCTGGATATCCAAGCTACTGGGGTACGACTACAGAATTGAATACAAAGCAGGGACAGCTAACCGAATGGCGGACTTTTTTTTTCCATTTTGGGATTGAATACAAAGAGGAACAGGAAGCAGTGGAAGATAGAGTTATAAAGAAGATTGAGTCCATATATTCCCAGCACTGGAAGCACTGGACTTTTTTTTTTCCATTTTAAGTCCCTTTCATGTTTGTAATGATTAGCACACAACTATATTCCCATGTTTGGATAATATATGGGCCATATATTTAGGGGTTATTATTTGGTGTCATGGTAAAATCTTGAGCTGGCAAAAATGAAAAAGGAGGTTCAAGTCTGAGGGTAGTCACTTTGCCCAAAAAAGAAAGCCAAAGGTTAGGAATCTATGCAGTCTACCCCTCCCAAGACCCCAGATAGCTGGGACCAACATTGGATATAATGGCCTTTTTATAGCTTATATATCTACTACTGTACTACTGTACTACTGCATAAGTCGGTCACTTCAGATCATGTAAGCTTTAGATATGAGAATTCTGGTCCCTTTTTTGATAATATTAACTATAACTGAATAGACACACTTTAAATGGTCATTATCCAATGTTGGTCCCAGCTATCTGGAGCCTTGGTAGGGGTGGACTGGATTCGGTCATAATCTTTGGCATTGTTTGCACAAAGTGGCCACTCTCGGATTCAATCTCTTGTTCTCACACTTGACAGCTTGAGATAGAATAGACACATTTACCTATAAAAAAGAAACAAAAGACAACATGGAGACACATTTTGAAATGGATATTGTGGAAGACCATCATAATGTGTGAGGATACGGATGATGCATTGCTGAAGCTGGACCAGTAGGCAATCCCAAATTGCTGGGCAATGGCTGTTCTTGAGTTGAATTGAGTATTTATTACAAGACCGTTATTTTCTCATAAATGGAATTTTTATTTATAAAAAGAACAAAGGTTCCTTCAAACTAAAAGAACATGCATGGATACAAAATAGATGTCATCCACAAACAAGAACACAATATGAATGGTAGACCAAACTAATTGGAATCAAGACAATACAAAAAAGAAAAAGAAAAAACATTCATATTACCTATCCAATCAGCTTCAAATATGCTATCTGTTTTTAGTAAAAAAATAAAAGTTTCTTAATATGAGCTTACCTTATTTGATATGTAGTCTAGTAGAGCTCGAATAAGCCATGGCAATGACCTTGATCCTAAAAGCCTGACAATGGAGAACATGTGAGGAATTCCTAAGAACCCGTTGTGCAATCGTGTAAAACTTTGATGGGCCATATTTAAATCCTACAATAACATGAAACATGGAATTCAGAAAATTGAAAAGAAAAATCAAATTATTATGGTTGTTGGGGATGAACTAGTTACCAAGTAATGAAAAGATGCTAAAACAGAATGTTATACAAGCTGGCATGATGCAAGTCAATATCATGACAGACCACATATTAAGGATATCTCCATATATCTCCACTAAAAGATGAGCAAAGAATAAAGATATTGTCAGAAAAGAATAGAAAAAGCACCAGTCTGCTACAACTAAAATCCACCATTATGCCTAAGTCAGTGATCGATATATTGGAGAAACTCCAAAGGGATAGGCTCAGAAAGGGTTAGAAAAAGCTTCATTGAGGAAAACTATTAGCAGGAATATTCAGAAGTGCATATCTGGATTGAGTGAATGGAGATTCCTTACAACCCCCTAGGTAGCAGTCTATGGAAGGGTATCAAGAAAATGAAGCCAGCATTTACACAACACATACAGCTGAAACCAGGCACCAGTGATCACATTCTATTTTGGAGAGATGTCTGGTGCGGGGATAGGCCATTGTGATGCCTATCCCTTGCTTTTTGGAATTGAATAAATAAGGATGTGTTGATAAGGGAGTATGAGTATGTTGGTTCTCAGCTTGTATTGACTTCCCAATTTAGATGCAACAAGAATGGTTGGGAGTCTGAGGACGCAGATCATGTATTGAAGACTTCACATCATACCAGGATACATCCTGATGCTGCGTACAAGAGGATATGAATGGGAAACTCTTCAGGCATATTCAGCATAAAATCAAACTATCTTTTTAGTTGTGAGGGACTGCTCATCCTGTTTCATGCAGGTGGATTTTGGAATGCACTTGTGCCATCCAAAGTCATATTCTTTTCTTGGGCTGCCAATTGATGTTCATTAGTATGATAATGGACAGTTCCTGCATATTCTGTTCTGAACAGGAGACATCCTGTCATTTATTTTTTCACTGTAGAGTTGCTATGCATATACGGTCTCACTTCTCAGGGCTGTTTGGGAGGAGTAGATAACTCCCCCTGACCTTGCTAGTCTCTTCTTTGCCTAAAAGGTGCATGGCTTCTGTAGAGAACACTAATGTGGACTACACTAAGGTGGTCCCCGCTGTTCGTATGTCAGCAATAAGTTATGATTAGGATTAGTTCTTTATGATAAGATTAGGACTACTCTTTTATAAGATTAGGATAAGATTAGGATTAGTCTTTTTTTCAGCTTTATCTTATCTTATCTTATCTTGCCATGTAAGCGATCCAGTACTTTTACAAGTATGATACTATGTATATAAATTTAAAAGGGGGGCGGCTGTTTAAACATATCAACCCAACTCTCTTTTATCAAAATCTCTCTCTCTCTCTCTCTCTCTCTTCTCTCTCTCTCTTTTCTCCCTCTTCTTTTCTTTTTTTTTTCTTCTCCATTTAAGTGTCTGTTCAATCTTGAGTGACTACTTGGTATCAGAGCATTCGATCTAGGGTTTCTCAAGTGGAATTAATTCAGCCAACCACATGAGAATTATTTAGGGCTGAGTTTTTTCATTCGACTGATTCTTGGAGATTACAAGAAGTCTTCAGCAACTGTCCAAGGATTGGAAAGTGCTCCTTGTAATCAGGAAGAATCAGAGAAGAGTTAAGTGATCAAGGTTAGGTCTTTGGTCAAGATTGGAGGTGCCAATCAGATTTTTTGGTTCTCTCATCAAGATTGAAGTTGGCGATCAAGAAGATTTTTCTCCGAGATCAGTTCTGTTTCAGAAGTTTCTCGGGTTGATCAGAATCAATATCAGTTTTGAGCAAATTGAAGTTGGCGAACAGAATTTCACCAAGATTTTTCTTCAAGATCAGGTTTTTTTTTTCTCAGAAATTCCTGGGTAAGGTCTTATTCCTTCTTGAGGGCAGCAACAAGGATAGCTTAATTTGTGAGGTATGGCTATATAGAATTTTTTTTCTTTTTCTCTTCTAGGGTTTAAGAGAAAACCCTGAAATCCAGGACTGTTACTGTGTCTGGATAAGAGATTAGACTTGTTTTTAAGTTTGGCTGCTATCAGATTTCTGTTCTC